TAAATTCAACACTCCCTGTCTTTATTACAATAAAGCCAAGAAAGTCAGGAATTATTCCTAATAATTAAGAAAATCTTTTAAATGAAGTTTTGATATTTAAAATTAAATTGGAGCGCGCGCGGTAACGTCTTGTGCTAAGAATGCATATTTAATAACTTTGTGAAACAGATACAAAGTTTATTTTGTGAGAAAATTTGTCTGAAGATTACGAATATAATTTCTTTCTTTAATAAGATTATTTGTTCAAGAAATGGGATTTCTCCGTTTCTTTAAATACAAATAATTAATTAGAGAAATTAATGTGAAATGGATAAAGGAAAACAGAAAGAAGCAAAGGAGAAAGTGAATGAGAGAGAGAAAGAAGATACGAAACATTTTCAAAGGTTAAAGGTAGCAAACAGCAGTTTGACGTTACTGTTTCTCGAGACTACTGCTTTGGAAAAATGGAATTCTCATTTCTGTCCCTGGTGATACGGGAATGAATGAAGCGGAGTCACGAAGGCGAGAGAACACTTGAGCACGGCAGGATCTCTTCCGATCGAGGGACTTGTTCCGAGCAAACAAATAAAACAAAAAAAGAGGGGAAATGGTACTTTTTCTATCGCAGGATGAACGAGCATGAAACGATAGAATCTGCGAATAACACGAATTCTATTGAGCGAGAAGAATTTTATGATATTCGTGTTAGGAAGTCGAAGGGAATAGTGACATAAACTGGTAGTATAATCGCGAAAAAAGAAAACAAAAAGAACTTTTTATATTTTATAAGAAATACTCGCCGTATTACCCGAAAAGATATTTTGATCAGATTTTTTGATAATGACAGTGCAAGTTGAAAAAAATATTTTATTTAACGCGATCTTTCTCTCTTCTCCCCCCTCCCTCTTTCTCTCTCTTCATTTTCAAGTCACAGTAAATTTCGTTAGAACGATAAAGAATTTTCGTCATTGCCATCACCTTTACGCGAGCGGCAGTTCATCGACCCAAAACACGATCCTTGTTCACGCGATCGCGCGATATCGTGCCAGGTAATTTCCGTCCTTCGCCCCGATACGGCGAAGAAGGATTCTTCAATTAATGAAATCGAAGAATTCAAGGAGAAATGTAAAATAACCGCGTCGGATAAAAAGCGGAACGGGGAAAGGAGCCTCCCATCTCGGACACGCGTGGATAACTGTGCCCTGCTCATAAGGTAGGAAAGTATTTTCCAATAGCGCCTACGACGGAGGTAACGCCGAGTAGGAAAAGACGATATTTCACGCACATAATATCACGAGCGAAGGAGCGAGAATAAAAAGAGAGGGAGGAAAAGAAAGGAGAACGAGACAGAGAGAAAGAGAGAAAAATGGATGGAGGAGGGGTTTTCCCTTATCGTCTCAGCCGTGTCCATCCGCGGAGGGAGGCTGTTAAGCGACGAACGTTAACCGTGAACACGACCACAAAGATGGCCCACTGCCGCCGTCGCTGCTGCTGGATGAAGATATAAAGGGAGACAGCCAATATCCACGGCAATGTGTTACCACACCGATCCGCGCGTGTTCGTCCTCGAAAATACCGCGAACCCTGCAAAATGGCGAGAGGAGTAGCGCGAGAGGCTGGGAAGAGTGGGTGGTGAGCGATATATACGGAGAGAGAAATTTCGAGCGGATATTCTTGCTGGTTTAAGCTATTTCTCCTTTCTGAATTCCTTCTCCCTTTTTTTCGCTCGAGTGAGGAATGCGTTATGAAGATAACGTCGTGATTCCTGCGACAGACGGTACTCGCGCGCGGGAATAATGGAAGAGAGTGGCGGGGAGACTCTCCGAGGAAGGGAATATACTTCGATTGCGCCATATATATCTTGAGGTTCTTAGCAATTTGCTCTTAAGAATCCGTAGAGAGTCTTTGCATTCCTCGGTAATTACATTAATTTTTCGGCGTAACAATATGCGGAAAATCGATATATACTTATATATGATATTCCAAAGAGAGACAGAAAGCAACTCGGTGTCCTTTTATTTTCGATATTGGAAAAATCGCGCGGAGAACGTATAACGACGCGCCGACAAAGTTCATCACATCGTCTGGAGGCTGTGGATTTGTCTCGTTTTACCGCGGAAAAGTTTCATGGGATTCTCGCGCAGACGAGCTTCGATACGAGCGCGCGCGTAAGCTCGTTTCGTCTTCTCCTCGAAGATCTCGTTAGCGGATTCGGCCGCGAATCGATAGATCGACGTAAATTCTTCCGAGCTTCCCTCGAGTCCTTTCGCTGCAAAGCTGCTGCTGCTGCAAAGGCGGAAAGAGGGCAGCTCTTTCCTCCCTTCGTATTTGCGAATGCCTAATTGGCGTAATGGGTAATTAAGCGGCGCAAAATAACGTAACTGTAACGAAGCCTGTGTAAAACTTGCTGCTACTCTTCAATTATGTGTAATGCGAAAGCGCTTTTAATCATTTACGAGACACACGGGCGCAACGTTCTCTGAATAATTGCGAGCGCAATATGGCGGCGAACGGTTCAGAAATTTCGACCGGCTCTCTGTTCTCGACAAAATTAACAACGTCGGTCTGAATTTTGTGTTTCGCAGCTACAGTCGCTTGTATAAGTGTATTGTGGTTTTTCCAACTTTACCGTGTGTTATTTTATACAACTCGATAGTTGCGTCCGATATTGCAACGACAGAATTTTATGCATCGAGAGCAGTGCAGTGCTGCAAAACGGCCGAAGTTGCGCGTGTCTGGGATTAATTATAACGATTCTGAGCGAAACTTCCAACAGACGATATCGGTATTGTAATTTAATAATACCAACGCATACAGATTATAGAGAAATCATAAATTAGTGGGTTCTCTTTGGGTATGAGGCAATTAAGTTATTTCAAGGAACACTTCTTTTTAATCTAACAAGAAACCATATAAAGAGGTGTTTCTGATTGATATTGGTGAGCTTTGTGAGCTTATAGAGCAGTCTTAGAAAAGTGTGGTTTTAGAAAGTAATTCTATTATATATAAATAAATTTTTGACATGAAGTTTTCTTTGAATTTTGTTCTTAGAAGAATTTTGAGAATCGTGAGAATAATAATTGCCGATGGTATATCTAAAAATATGACATTTTCAAATTTGTGCTTAATTGTAAATTGTATTAAATGCCGTGAGACTTTTGTCTGAAACATCTTATGTACACCGCACGGTTTCAAAGATATCTGCTGACAGTTAATTCTGTCGAATACTTTCGAGGTAGTTTCAACTCCCAAATGTGCGATAAAATGCAGGTAAAAGGTACATTTCTCTTTTACCTGCTCCACAGCATGTCTAAGCTCACTAAAATGGACAAGTGATCTTTACCAATCCTCACCGTACTCTCCGTGTGTTTCCTCGCATGTAAACCGCGGATTTGAATTTTTAAAACGTCTGAATTTGCACTCACCTCGCATAACGGTGGGACTGATGGCGAGAAAGTGTACGCAAGCGGCTCCGGTGCCCTGACCCATGAGGGTGACGTTGTCGGCATCCCCGCCGAACAGGGCGATATGTTGCTGAACCCAATGCAAGGCGGCAATTTGATCCATGATCCCGTAATTCGCGACTCTCGCCTTGGTCTGCGGCGCCACGTTGGCGTTCAGGAAACCGAGCACGCCCAGCCGGTAGTTCATGGTGACGATCACTTGGTCGGTGTAGCTAGCCAGGACGCTGCCGTCGTAGGGGTTTCCGCTGCCCCAGTCGTAGCTCTCACCGTGAATGTACAGCAACACCGGATGCTTTCTACCGCCCTCCGCTGTGCCTGCGACACAAAGGGATCGCGTCGCGACGCGTCGTTTCAGTTCCTCTTTTGCCAGTGCCGAGCCGAGGCGACAAAGACGACGGCGACGCCGTCGTCGTTGTTGTCCGTGCCGTCGTCTTTGTCGCGGGACACGAGACGTCTACCTGCCGAAGCGGCCCGGACACGAGTCGGCATTGTCCTGTATTCCGGCCGAAATGAGGGGCCGCGAGGGGTATGTCACGAGATCATCGGGGCTCTTTCAGCCTGCCGTGAAGCATGCTGAACGGTGTAAATGGCGATTTTGCACATAAAATCCGAGCGCGCGAGAGAGGAATTTTCCGCACGGGACGGTGTAATGTTATGGTCATTATGGGATTAATTTGAGCAGCGAAAATACGCGCGGATACTTCTTTTCTTCTCGAAAAGATCGAGTCTTTTAAAGCGTCTTTTAAAGCGACAATTTTTGGAATTTTCAGAGAAATGTGTTCGTTTGAACTGAAGAATGAATTTCCTGTTAGTTGCGAGACACTCGAGGGTAGATGAAATGACAGAATGTTCAAAAGGCACGGCTTTTCTCAGACGTGCTATATACGGAAGATCATAAGTTACTCGATATGTTACGTATTATTTCGCTCTAGGTTCTGGGATATGAAGTCCTGACTGTTGGCGGGAATGAAGTTATCGAGCCGTAAAATTACAGAGAGAGAGAAAGAGAGAAAGTGCTCTTATATCGCTATCTAGTCGACAGTGGCTTCGTGAGGACGCGTTTCTTTAAAAAGAAAGGAAAAAACTTTGTTCATGTACGAGATAAAAATTATTTATCATTCGCGTATTTTAATGTTTGCGCGTGCGGGAGAAGTACATACATACAGGACGTAAAAATCTAACTACTCTACTTTTTGTACCTGCGGTTGTTTACCCGGTCACCAATTTTTCGACCAAGTCGACTTTTCCCCGAACTTACAACGGAAAGTCAGAAATCCACGATATCCAGGTTTTACAGTACGATGCCCGTGGTTTTTAATGGTCTTTGCCTTATATTTCTCTTTTTCTTCGGGTTGAAATTCTTCGGAAAACTCCTCGACTACTTCTCCGTTCTCTTCCTCTCCTCTCTCTTCCTCTCTCACTCACTCATATTCTCTCTTTCTCGCTTCCCTCTCTGCTTCTGCCTTTCTTCTAGCGATTGCGAGTTTCTATATGGCTGGACATACGCGGTCAACATTACGCTTTGTTTCGATAAGGACCACTTCCGTCCCCGCTTTTGAGACCGTAACGACGAGAGACGGGAAAGCACGGTGAAGTGATGTAGTAAATGGCACGTCTATATTTCGCGATAAAAGACGTCTCCGAAATCCTCTTCGCGAAGAAGATCTACAATTTTTATGTTTACAGAGAATATTTTTTGGGTCACGCGTAAAATCAGTTTTCAGCTGTCGTCTCTCCCATTGGCACCGCTTATTAAAACACGGCTAACTATGTTGATTGCACAACAAGCGCTCAATAAATAATAACAAAAATAATACTTAATTTTGGCGAATTATATGCGTCACTCGAGATGTGTGAGCAAGTCTCGGTTGCAGATTTTTACTTCTCGAGAAGATAGTAGTATAATTCCACGAGAACGGCATTTGTTTCTGTGTACTTGACGTCGGAATGGCTATTGCGTCTTTTGAAACTAATAGGGATTGTAAAGATGCTCATTATCCATTTATCTAATTAATCTAATTAATAGCTGTATCTCGTCTGTCTAAGACGTCGCTGTTGATAACAAAAGGACGTTTCTGCGACAACATTATCAGTCTCATTGGGAGCTTATTGGACGCAGAGCTCCTTTAACTCATTCGTTGATCCTCTTTTTACGTGACGGCAGAGATACCCTTCGAATTTCCGCCTTTTTTCGCAGTTAAATCTTGATGCTCGTCGGGTCTCTCTTAGTATTGGAACAGGTCGAGATACTCGGATCCGAGGAAGAGATTTTTTCCTCCCGGTTCATTCTCCGATATTCCGTCCTCTCTTCTTCCCCCCTCCCCTTCCCTCTACGAAATTATCTCAGAATCTTAATCAGGTAAGTCCTCCGTCGCAAAGTACTTTGCAAGTTAGCGGCGTATTTGCCGAGACTCTTTATTCGGATTAATGCAGATCCATCTTAGCTCCGTCTTCCTTATTCTCACATACATATGCGCGCGCACGATATCTTGGTGATACGATTACGAGGAGAAGCTGCGCACAAAAAGTGTTCCATACATTTTTACGGCCGCATAAGAGGGGGGTTAAGGCATGATTGAGAGATATAAAGAGATATAGTCGGTTATACCTATTCTTCATTCTATGTTGCGGCGACGTCTTGAGATGCAATGAGAAAAAAGAATGCAGAAACACACACACACACACAACTATCTCTCTCACATACACACACACATACAAACTATCTCTCTCAATCTTAAACTGTTAATTCCCGGCTTCGCACCGTGAACGAAACGTTTGCTCTGTGTACGTGTATACACGTCGTCGTTCTCGAAGATATTTAAAGCGCTCAACATCAGAATTTGCCTAGTCTTACGGAATTTGAGATCGCTGTAGACAAAGTTGTTTCAGGTAAATTTCAAGTTTAACACGCGTGGATTTTCCACGTATATGCACCGTAAAATTGTGTAAATAACGTGATTTATGCACAGATTTATCGAACCGATATAATAATAAAGCATTGTTAATTTTCCAATATAATATTTCGATATAGGTAGGAAGGTTAGAAACGGATACAGAGGAATATGTCACATTATGCAGGATATTATAAATTAATTATATCATAAATATATGGAATTATCTTGGTGTAACAATCGACGGTGTATCGTATCTCCGCAGTAGGCATTAACGCGTTTGTTTCTCAAAAATCGAGGCTTTCGAATTTCCGCAGATATGGCAATGAGTCGATGCTTAGTGGGGCGAACATTAATCGAGGCGAGTTGCAGATAAATTCGACGATTAAATGAATGAGCCGTCGCATTCGAACGTTTCGGAATGGCCGGAATGCGAAAATATTTAACGCCGAAAAGTCGATATTACAACGGGAGCTCGCCGCGTTCGCAGGGATACTCAATAAATCCCGTTCGTCGGGAAATAGATTATCGTGATAGGTCATCAGCGAGATTTCTCACGACGCGCACGCAGCATTCGCATCGAAATTCGTTCGTTCTCTCTGCGCTCCCTCCAATCGCGATCCATGAGCAGTAATGAGCATCAAACATGCCTCAAATAGTTTAAACTAATCTTGTTCTCTGCACGCTTCATATAATATGCATTGATACGCCGCACGTTAATTAATGCTGCCAGATGAGTCGATATTAACGAACGTCAATAACCGGTCAATTCACTTTGACCTTTATTTTATGATTTTTTGAAACACGATCGACACATTTTCTCGATTGATCGTATGATATGGCGCAAAGGTGATTAAATAATTCTGGATTCGCGCGAGTATGTGCAAAATTCGACGGAATCGGAAAGTTTGAATAAAAATTTATAGGAAATTCGCGGGAACCATCTAATAACTCGATAAATTTTTATTACATGGTCCACCGCAAATTAATTTAACTTGTATCTTTACAGGACGCAAAAATCATTTACACACACATGTACAATCGAGATTTTCAGTTATTTTATTAGTTTTAATATCAGTTATTCTTTGCAAGCTATCCTCGTGGAAACTGCATTTATTTAAATAGTTTCGTGTATTTATTCATCCGCATATATGTATGTGATTATCGAATTATGCGCGATGGCTGTTCACGAAAACGCTCGGACAACGTTCCCCCTTCTTCCTCCCCCTTCCATAAAAAAAAACGATCCGAATTTAAAAATCAAAGGGCGAATTGTTGGTGTAACAATGCAACGCCGCGCGATTCGCCATTTTTGCAATGATGTTATTCGTCCATCATCGGAAATCCGATTATTCGTTCCTGCTGTAGTTTGCGCTCTCGGGAGGGTATCATTTTTAGCTCGTTATCGCGGCGATCGTATCGCAGAATGTAAAGCCCAATTTACACTTGTTTCATCATTGATCATCGTCCTTTGTAAACTAATCTGCCGATAAAAGAACTTGAAAAAGTTAGAGACACTCTGTTCAAATGTAAAGAGAGAGAGAGAGAGAGAGAGAGAAAGAAACCGACTTCCACGTCCGCTAATTTCCATTTTTGCGCCTTTCTCGCGGTACCTCTCGAGCGAGAAAATCTTTCCTTCTGACTTTCAAACATTTTCCTGAAAGCTTCAGATAGTGCGACGGCTACGGCGCTTGATAGATGAGGTAATTCTTAAAAGCGAACCGTGTAAGATGTGTATAACGCGAATCAATTATTTGACGATACTGCAGGGGATTGCGTGGCTGTAACTCGGCGAGAAGCCAGCCAGCCAGCAGGCAGGCCTGGTAACTTTATCGTGCACGACTCGTTATGCACAAACAGAATCAAAAGTACATAATTACATCGCGAACTGCGCAGCGCAAACTGCAACGGGCATAATCTGCGCATAATGCACAGTATGCGAAAGCAAATTAATTACTTCGCTCGTCGCAATACCGTCAGCAAGTACACATGTGCAAGGACGGAGTCTGACCACGTCAGATTTCGTTAAGTTTCAATTAGTTTCGTGTAATTTCGCGTTGTGCTTGTTTTATTTTGCGAAATCATCATTTTATGTGCGAGTTAAAATATCGTGTTAAAAAGAAAAAAAAAGAGAAAAAAGAAGAATTCGCGTTAACTTTTGTTAGATCAGATTTTATTTCAATCCGAGCAGCATGACGTTCCGATTGCATTTCAGATTTATCTTCATAATTCATTCGCATGCGTCGAAAAAGTTACGTTTATTGAATTAACGAGAGTGGGACTTTGGAAATGATGATAAAAATTAAAAAGGGAGAGAGAAAAGAGATGGATCATGAAGCTTATAATAATAAAGGTTCTCGCAATTAATTTACCTCTCGGGTTGAAGTTTGCTTCAAACGCTTTGAGACCGTCGGAATAATTATT